CAAGGCGGGTGAACCAGAATCCGGTAACGTTCCTGCCTCCTGGCCCTCGACTCACCTGTGGCCATGATGGGGGTGATCTCCTGTCCCTGTGGGGATTCGGTTTGCCACCCTCTTCACCAGTGAGAGCTCCAGAAACAAGATGGACGGCAGACTTCAGCCAAGTGTCCTTTTGGGTTGCACGCTGATTTCTCGGCAGGGCACACTTAAACGTCTGCCTTGTCTCCAGGGTCACCGCGTCTGCAGCTCGGGGAGCAATGTGGTGTGGGGGAGGGTAAAGGCACCGTAGAGGTAGACTTAGGCACCAGCGCCGGATTTCTCATTTCCCCGGGGGTGCTCCACCCCAGGCCCCCGCCCCCACTCCCCTTCCCCTAAGGCCCCAAGCCCACCCCACCTTTTCCCACCCCCACCCTGCCTCTTCCTGCCCCGTTCTGCCCCCTTCCTGGAATGTGCCACACCCTCACTCCTTCCCCTCCCGCCCCAGCACCTCTTGCATGCCACTGAACAGCTGATCTGCGGCGGGCAGGAGGCGCTGGGGGGAGGGGGAGGAGTTAATCAGCGGGGCCGCCGGTGGGTGCTGAGCACCCACTATTTTTTTTCGGTGGGTGCTCCAGCACCAGCGCACCCGCGGAGCTGGCGCCTATGGACTTAGGAGCTTTGCAGGGACTGCATTCGCCTGCACAGGCCGGGAGACATCCGGCGCCGCGGACGGTGACATAGCACCACGGATGGCGCTTTCCACCCGTCGGGCGGTTTTGCGGGTTTTCTCCAAGGCAAAGGCTTTTTATCACGAGGAGTCAGTCAGGAGCCGTGGAACCGGTCGCCTCCCGGACAGTCTGACCCCTGATCATTTCATCTGTGCAAGTGGCAAATGCACAGGTTGCTCGTGACTCAGGCAAGGCAGCTACGCCGAGGTCGGTGGCCTCATGAGGCATCCGTACACGGGAATAGGAGCTCGGCACCAACACTGAGTCGAGGATTAAAATGATCCTCCAGGGCTCGGAGAGCAGGACTGTCCGGAGTCGCATCCTGCGGTGAGTCAGGACCAGGAGGGAGATGCTTGAAGATTCACTGTGGCAATGCGGCAGTGCGGCTCTCCGCTTGCCTGGAGCGTAGGAAGAAGTTACTCTAGGAAGCACCTAGTTGCAGAAGTTAGACTTCCGTTGTGCCCAGGGGAGCAGGGGATCTCCTGGGTTAGGCACGGGGAATGGTGGAGGTGGTAATAAGCGTCGCAGCCCCGGCTGATTGGCTCTGTACAACTACGCTCGCGGTGCAGCTGGGCTGCTGAGGAATTTGCGGGCTGGGAGAAAGGAGCCCAGTGAAAAAACAGGCACCGGCCCTTTGAGTTTCTCTTCTCAGCCAGGCGAAGTTGCAGATCACAGCAGACAGACACACACTGGGGCGCTGTCTGCACCTAGCTAGATCCAACATGGGCCCTGCCCGGGAGAGCTCACAAGCTAAACAGACAAAGGCAGGCTCTTTATTCCCATTCTAGCCGATGGGGAGCAGAGGCCTAGCGATTTGCCCAAGAGAGGAGGGCTCTGATACGGACACGCTGTGGGACCTTGGGCAAGTCACTTAGCCTCCCTGTGCCTCAGTTCCCCCTCTGTACAAAGCGGATCACAGCCCTGCCCTCGAGGGGCGTGTGAGGATAAGCACATTAAAGATTGCAGGGGGGGCTCGGATGACATGTAACAGAGCAGTTCCCCGTCGATGCAGCAGAGGGCAGTGGTGCACAGACAGGCCAGATCTAGCCAAACTCCCAGTTGCGGCCGCGTGCTGCACACGGTGTGTATTGAATCTTGCCGGGTCTCTCCAGCATTCACTCAGCCGCCTTAATTGCCCCGACAAGACCGTATTGATTTTCATATTATCCTGGTTCCCCCGAGAGTGGCTGGGGCTCTGGTTCCTGAACGAACGGCGCTGCTTTTTTCCCACTAGCCGGAGAGCTAGCCGCGGCACCGCTGGCAAACAGCTGGTGACGTGCGGCGATCAGCGTCCCACTCTGGGGAAGTCTTGCCGAGAGCTGGCTTTTCTCTGGTGCTCGGCCCCGGCTCCTCGATCGTGGGAATGAAGGCTGAAAAAAACCGGTGTCTCCCTAGACGCCGTGACGCCACCCACCGCGACCACTAGGAACTACGCAGGGATCCGGCTCAGCCCATGCCACTCCCAGTGCCCATGCCGGTGCCACCAGGGCTGGAGGGCGGTCACTGCCAGTCGGCTGCAAAGGGCTCAAGCGTTCTTCATAAAACCTCACAATCCGCTTAGCGCCACAGGCTCCAAAAAGAACCTTTATTCCAAAACGTGTGTGACCACGTTAATTTCACCATTGTTTGTTCTCAGTTCCTTTTGCTGTCCCTCCCCCCACTTCCTTCCCCTTTGTCCCTTTTGACACTGACAGTAGAGGGGAACAAAAATGGTTTTGTTTTTCAGGTTTCGTCAGAAATAATTGGGGAAAAGATTAAAAACTGGCCTGGTCAGCAGGAGGGAGGCTTTATGAACTTCGTCTCTTCATCCCTCTGTGCATTCGGGGACACTAATGTCTCCTTCCTCCCACTCTTTGCTGCCCGTGTCTATTTTAAGCTGTATGGGGCAGGGCCCACCTCTCACGCCGTGTCTGGGCAGAACCCAGCGCAAGTGGACCCGATCTCAGCTGCGGCCTCTACTAACTTACTGATTTCATGCCGTTAAAGTGCTCGGAGATCCCCAGACGGCGGGAGCAGAGAATGGCAAGGGACTGTTATAACAAATATATCTTCCATATATGTGGGATCTTCTGTCCCGAGGGTCCTGAAGCACTTGACCAACTAGCAGCTCATCCATCCCGGAGCAGGCGTTTCTCCTCGCTGTGTGCTGAAGTGGTGAAACCACGTAGCAGCTCCACTTTTCTCTTCCTGAGGAGGTGTCCTCGCGCTTCCCAGCCGTGAGCCACGCCCCAGGGAGGTTTCAGCCGACGCCAGGTGGGGTTGGAGACTCACTCGGCAGAGCCCGTCTGGGCCAGCGCAGCAGGACAGTATTAGCCCCGTGAAATCAGTGGCAACGGTCCCACTGACGTCAGCGCAGCTTGGATCAGGCCCATCTCGTCACTATGACGTTGGCGGGTGGGCTCCTGGCCCTTCCCCAGCTGCCGTCGGTCTGATCCACTCAGCGGCTCAGAAAACCCTGCGATCTCAGCGCCCCCTTTGCATATCAATTCAGATGTCCCAGGAAGCTGGGTCCCTTCCCTGGCGTGAGGTGAACCCCGCCAGGTTGGGGTGGAAACAGGTCTCCGTGCGACGCAGCCAGGCCTCGTCCGTCTGCCATGCTAGCGCCTGGGAGAGCCACAGGAGCAAACTCCGAATCAAGGCTTCACCGCGGAGACGGGTGCCGAGCTCTGGAGCTTGACGCCCCCAGGGTTCCTCGATTCCAGAGCCAGAAGGGACTTGTGTGCTCCTGCCCCCATAATTCCTAGAGCAGATCTAGAGAACCGTCCCAGCGGGATTTAAACATGGCCAGGGACGGAGAGTCCCCCGCGCCCCTTGGTAAGTCGTCATGGTGGGTTCTCCATCCCTGACAAATGGTTCAGAACGGGGGCGGGGAGGGGGGGCGGCTCCTGCTCCCTCTGGACCTGGCTTTGCTGCTGTGACCGGCAGGGGGCAGATGAAGGAGCCGGGAGCTCTCCGGAAAGCCGGGCTGGCGGCTGAAATTTCCAGGCCAGCCCTGCTGAGCCAAGGGGGGCCTGGAGATTTGAGGTTTGTCTGGTGCCATTCCCTCGGCTACTGCTCTTCCACACCTCCCCGGCTCTCCCACACCTCCCTCCCCCGCCCACCCACACCTCCCCCGCTCTCCCACACCTCCCTCCCCCACCCTCCCACACCTCCCCCGCCCTCCCACACCTCTCCCACCATGGCTTGGAATGATTCTCATTCCAGGCACAGCAAAGGGAGGCTTCTAATCCAGGGGCAGCAGACGGGAAGGGAGGCCCCCTCCTGCAGACAGACACAGATCCCACCCCAGCACATCCCCGCTCCCACCAATGCAGATCCCCTTTGCATACCTGTTCAGAGAAACCCCTGGCACACACAGAGCTCACCTCCCCTACACATGCGGAGATCCCCTGCGCCCACACACACACAGATCACCTACACACACACACACACACGCGCACACACAGATCCTCTGCATACACACACACACACACACACACACACGCACGCACGCACACAGATCCTCTGCACACACAGAGATCACCTGCACACACACACACACAGATCACCTGCACACACACACACACACACGCGCACACACACACATAGATCCTCTGCACACACACACACACGCACACGCACACGCACACACAGATCCTCTGCACACACACACACACAGATCACCTGCACACACACACACACACGCACACAGATCCTCTGCACACACACACACAAATCCTCTGCACATGCACACACACAGATCCCCTGCGCCCACACACTGATCCCTGCACATACACACACACAAAGTTCCCCTGCAGATACACACACGTGCACACACACACAGATCCCCTGCAGGCGCACACACGTGCACACACACATACACAGATCCCCTGCACACGTGTGCACACACACAGAGATCTCCTGCAGACCCACGCGCGCACACACAGATCCCCTGCACACATGCACACACACAGATCCCCTGTACACAGGTGTGTGCACACACACACTATGGGGGAAGGGTCACTGAGTCTCTTTATCCCCCAACCTGCCATCATCCCCTCCAGCCTCCCCCAGGGCACACTGCCAAGCCATTCCCCCGCGGGCACCAAGGGTAAGGACTGGGTGCCAACGCCGGAGTCCCTTTTGACTGACGCTGTGGCAGGCTGCCCCAGGGAGTTGGGCAGCAGGGGCACTAGGCAGGAGTGTGACTGATCTCCTGGGCACCCTGGCTGGCAGAGACGGCCTGTAGCCCCATCCAGCGGGGGCACCGCCAGGTGCTGGGGGAGGCGCAGGGCAGGAAGCCCCGACGTTACTCACATGCTTCTCTAGCACCCGCAGGTTCTGCTCGTCCGACTCGCTCAGCCGCCCGCAGTGCACCTGGTGGGGCAAGGAGAGACAGTGAGTACACGGGCACCCCCGCCAGCCCGGGTCTCCCCACCCCCAGCTCTGGGGATGGGTCTCTGCGCTGACCAGCAGCCTCCCCGTCTTCCCAGTCCTGCTCCTGCCCCGCGATCTGCCGAGGCCTGCAGCAGCCTAGCTCTGCCAGCCCCGCGCCACGCAGCAGTCAGGGAATACCGGGGCCGGTGGGTGAGAATTGCACAGGGCAAACAGACCGTCAATAGGCAACAAGAAAGGAACAGAAATGGACGAGCAGAGCTGCGCCCCCTGCTGGCAGGCACTGTGCGCACCACCCGACGAGCCGGCCCTTTCCCAGAACACCACGCAGCTCTCCAGAGCGCTGCGCTATCCCGCCCAGAGCGCAGCCAACGCTCCCGCCAGAGCCCTGCTCTGCCAGCTGCCCTCGGCCTCTCTCACGCCCTTAGCACCCCCGTCCTGCAGGTCCAGCGGGGACGCCATGGGGTCCAGATAACCCACCTGTGCCTCTAGCTCGGCCTGCTGCCTGAGGGCCACGGGAGAGCAGGGAGCACCGGAGACGTCACCCTGTTGTCTGGAGAGCCGTGAGCCCACACCCCTGAACCGCGGGGCCATCTCTAGCCTCCAGCTAGTAGCCTCCAGCAACGTGGATAGGCGCGGGCTGCTCAAACCAACTGTACTGACGGCGTTTGCCCACAGCTAGCGGCCAGCAGACCGGGAACGGTCCAGCCAGACAACAGCGAGCAAATTAAAAAGCCACCTCCGGGCCGGGCCTTTAAGCTGGGAGGTTAATGAGCACTGATAACAGCACTGACAAGGCTAGATTGCACCTTCCCGGCTCCTTCTGTACACACGTCTCAAAGGCCTTTACGAACACCAATGCGTTAAGCCTCCCAACCGGCCCAGGAGGTAGGTCAGTGTTCCTATCCCCACCCAACCATTGGGGAAACTGAGGCAGGGAGCAGGGAAGCGGCTGCCCTCAGTGTCTCCGGGCGTCAGTGACAGAGCTGGGAACAGGATCCAGGAGTCCTGAATCTAGCAAGCCTGACTCCCAGCCCGGTGGCACATTGTAGTCGCTCTGAAGAAGGGTTTTCTATGGCCATTTCCAGCTCCTATCTTCAACCCCTAGGGGGCGACAGCCAGCAGAGCAGCTGGACAACGGGAGAGCAACGCTTCGTTGGGCAAAAGCAGCCCTGGGGCTTGATCCAAAGGAGGCGCTTTCCTTTGACCCCAATGGGCTCTGGAGCAGCACCTGCAGCCTGCAGATGAAGTGAGAACGTCTGTCCTATTTTTATGATGCCGATGCGTGCCTCAGTTTCCCTCCTGTACTTTGCGTTACTGCCCAGTGGAGGCAAGAGGGTTAAGTCTGCCCCTGGGGTGGGGCAGGGCAGGGGACAGGAGGCGTGTGCCTGGCCTCGCTGTAGCAGTGACTGGCTCGTGAGAGCAGCCCCCTTGTCATGCAGGAGAGCTGAAGCCAGTCTCCATGTGGCTGCCCGTTACGGGACAGCAGGTCCCCTTGGGCGTCTGGCCCACTGACCAGTCCTCCAAGGGACTGTTTCGAAGCTGGGGCGTAGCTCTGTGACCAGCCTGGAGCCAAGCCCCTCGGCCGCTGTAAATCCACAGAGATCTTGTAGTGAGGCCGATTCGACCCGCTCAGGATCCCCCCGTGCCCTGCGGGAAAGGCTGCGTGCGATGGTGTGGTAGGACCCCCGCGTTATTCAATGGACTCCACCCTCGGGCGCAGGTGGGCTGGCGGAGGCACCTGCAGTACGCGAAGGCACCAGGATGGGCCTAGACGCTGGGTCTCATAACGCCTCCCTGCTGCCGACTTACCAGTGTTTGGAGAGCACTTGGGATCTGCGGGGAACTGGTACTGGAGCAAGACAGCACTTGGGGACTAATTGATCGGCAAAAACCTTTCCAAAGCAACCCGGATTGATGGGGCGGGAGGTTGCCCGGCCACCTGGCTTTCGCCAGTGCTAGCAGTCTCCAGGCTTCGCCTGCCCCCAAGGCCAGAGAAACAAACGGAGAGCCCAGCTGGGCATCAGTCAGCAAGGCGCCGCTTGGCTCCGGCACGTCGGGGCCAGGATCCTGCTCTGACCTACACAGGTGATTTGCCAACCGGCTCAGAGCCCCCCGTGCCGGCCGCTGCGGCACATCATGCTGGCCGGGCGAAGAAGTAAATTCACCCCAATACATGACGGGTGACAGAATGTGGGTGTGTGGAGAGATCACAAGACTGCGGTGAATGCGTCAACAGTTTTGCACCATGTGTCTCTTGTGATCCCTGGCACCCAGTAAGACACGCTCGGGTTCATTAGCTCTCTTCCTCCAATGCACAGTAGTGGCTCTCGGCCACCCACCAGCTGCCCATCGCTCACACTAGGTACCCGGGAAATGACAATCACCCGCACACCTGAAAAGAGACGCCGGGGGCACTGACAGAGAGGAGAAGTGGGCTGTAGTCCACGAAAGCTTATGCTCTAATAAATTTGTTAGTCTCTAAGGTGCCACAAGTACTCCTGTTCTTCTTTTTTTAGAGAGGAGACAGCTTCCACTCCTGCCTGCGCTGCAGCGTGCCCGGGGCAGCCAGCCACAGTCCTCAGCTCTCAACCCCCAGACTCACAGGGATTTGGGGTTCGGCACTACCTTTGCAGCTGGAACTCATCTTACACTTGTGGGCCAAGTTGGGGGTGTAGAACTCGCACTTGTGTGTTGGAGCACGTGTTTGTTGGAACATGTACCCTCTGTGTTACTGCACATGGGTTAAAACATGTACCCTGTGTGTTATAGCATGTGTGTGTTACAACATGTACTCCTGTGTGTTACAGCATGTGTGCTAGAACATGTGCCCCTGTGAGTTACAGTACATATATGTTAGAACATGTACCCCTGTGTTACTGCACATGTTAAAGCATGTACCCCTGTGTGTTACAGCACGTGTGTTGGAACATGTACCCCTATGTGTTACAGCACGTGTGTTAGAACATGTACTGCTGTGTGTTACAGTACGTGCATGTTAGAACATGTACCCCTGTGTGTTACAGCATGTGTGCTAGAACATGTGCCCCTGTGCGTTACAATATGTGTGTGTTAGAATATGGATCCCTGTGTGTTACAGTACTTGTGTGTTAGAACATGGACCCCTGTGTGTTACAGCATGTGTGCTAGAACATGTGCCCCTGTGTGTAACAGTATGTGTGTGTTAGAACATGTGCCCCTGTGCGTTACAATACATGTGTGTTAGAACATGTGCCCTTGTGTGTTACAGTATGTGTGTGTTAGAACATGTACCCCTGTGTGTTACAGTACATGTGTGTTAGAACATGTGCCCCTGTGTGTTACAGTACTTGTGTGTTAGAACATGGACCCCTGTGTGTTCCTGCACATGTATTAAAACGTGCCAGTGTGTTACAGAACATGCATTAGAACATGTACCCCTGTGTGTGTCTGTCTGTGTAACACCATCTGTCTGCCATGCACGTGTGTGTGACAGCACATAGGCATGTGCGTGGCAGACAGATGGGGTTACACACAGAGAGAGGCTGTGGGTATTTTCTTTGCTTCTCAATTCCAATCCCCTTTCCCCCTCTTTCAGATTGGTGTGCGCGTAGCTCCTAGCTCGTTACTGTCTCTAATTAATTAGCGCTTTGCTCTTAGCAACTGCTTGGAGGCTGACAACATTGACAAGCTGGGCCAGAACGGCATCCAAGAACGGCACAGTAAAAACTCCTCGCTCTTCATTGTTCCAAGGAGCTGAACTGGTGCCAGGCGCTTTCCATGGGAAGCAGCGAGGGCTCCGAGAAATCAGGCATCGCCAGCGAGCTAATGGGCTGTTTGCTCTCCTAAATCAGTCATTAAGTAACGGAATCACCTGCTCTCAGGGGGGCCGGCTGCCACTTGGAAGTGGCATTAGTGAATTAGAGCGTGAGCTGTTTGAGAGGAGAGGTGCGGCCTGAGAGTCGCTGAACGGGCTAGGGTGGCTCGGATTGGCAGATCTTCCCACGGAGCTTCCCTCCCTTGGAGTCTCCGGACGGGTGCTGGATACAGTGGGGAAAGCAACTGAACAAATATCCCAGGCCGAGCTCTGACTCCGAGGAGGAGGAAGAGCTGAAGACTCATTGGCGTCTGTGTCCCTCTTGCTATTGGTGTTTTACGGGGCTGGGCACCAATGCCAAGCCCTTAGACAGCCTTTTAAGTGCGTCTCCGTTAGGATTTTATGCCAGATCAGCTTAGTGAAACTGGTGCAGCTCTTTTAGCACAGGGCAGGCCACCGGATGCACTGACTGTATTTCCATAGTGCCTGTGGCGTGGAAGGAGCTGGACAGACCAGGGACATGACCCAGCACCTGTCCCTGGGAGCCGAAATTGGACGGAGCCCCACGGAGCTGCACGTGCGGCCTCTTTGGGGCTAGATCTGAACTCTGCCATTTGGGAGGTGGGGACGGGATGGAGGGAAAAAGGGGCTGAGGATGGACAGAGAGGGGAAGGGCACAAGTGTGCCATGCAGAGGTGGCTTTGACAGCAGAGATGGCTTGGTGCGATGGGCATAGGACTGCCTAGGTCCCCTGCTACTGCAGGCAGCCCTGTGGTACAATGCTGGTCTGAAATCTACGGAGCTGTCTTAAAACTACCCTGTAACCGACCATCCTCCCAGCAATGGACACTGCTAACTGGGATCAGCCCTCTCCAGCCTGTTACAGCCATTTGTCTCTTTTCGACACTCTGGTGACGCTTGGCTAGCGTGTCACGCCAACAAAGTCCCCCTGAACTGAACAGCCTGGGTCGCGTGTGTGAAAGGGCATACGTGTACATCACCTATGTAGGACCTCGTGCCTGTGAAAAACCCACGGGAGCTTCCCACTGCTGGCAGCGGTCTGCCTCGTGCCTGGGCCGCATGCACAGAGGTGCCGCGCAGCGGAGAGGGTGAACATGTCACATCTGTGCGAGCCCTTGGCCCGTACGTCAACACGCGTGCGCGTGAACAGCGGCGGGGCTGGGAGTGCTCCCCAGCGACGGGCCCAACGCGTGAGTTTGAGAAAGGTCAGTGCTTGTTAATCATCTTAATTCCTTTTTAATAAGCGCTGGAGAAAAATCTCTTGCTGCTCGTCTCGCTCCTTAATCCACTTAAACCCTCCTCTCTCCCTGCTCCGTGAGCTGATTAGCGGGAGCCGTGTACCCCGATGGTGTCGGGGCCTTTTCAGGGCCGGGCCCAGGCGGCATGTGCCGAGAGGCAGACAGGGGCTCTTAGTTAACCTTGCATTTCATCTCGCCGCCCCCTTCGCACACGCCTCCACTTCAACGCCAGCATTCAGAAGAGCTCCCTCCTGTCCGTCTCCTGGCCCCCGCCGGACCCATTGCAACAGCCTGCTTGGCACACGGCTGATTGCTGAGTCACCCCTGTACCAGCCAGCCCGCAGCTCCCTGGGGCGTGCAAACCCCTGACCGCACGGGAGCAGCTGACACCAAACGGATCAGCTTACAACCCAGAACAGCCCTGCGGCCGGGCAGGACTCCACAGACATAAGCAGGAATCAAACCCACGGGCCTCTGCTCCAAAGGCACTCACCTACCATCTCCTGCTGCAGTCTAGGGCCGGGTGCAGCTCCCAGGGCCCCCCCGAGGGGGCAGCAGAGACACGCCCATTGGCCAGTACGTGGTGCTGTGGCGCCGTGGGGAGCGGAGCGGGTAGGGGCCCATGCTGAGTGCTCCCTGCTGAGGACGGGGGTCCAGCGATAGCTGATGAGCTTCGCTTTCCCTTGACTCATCTCAGCAAGGGGCAGCGCATTCACGCTGACTGGTCCTAACCCAGCCGGGGGCTCATCTGTCCGGTCACGGCCAGGCTCCGGTGTGGCCCCGGGGTTCCGTTTAATAGGGGGAAAATGACTGGCCCCCTCCGCAGTTCTACCCCTTCGCCCGCAGGGGGAGCCGGGGAGCAGCACATGCAGCTGAGCACCAGGGAGCAAGGCACCCTCAGTTCTCCGGCTTCACCTCTAGAGGGAGCCAGCGAGCTTCCGTTCCCACGTCCGCTAGGCCTGGGCTTCCACCAGGCTGCCCCGGGCTGGTCATTGCGAAAGTTAACGGTGAGCAGCGGCAGCCGGGCAGCCCAGAGATGGGTGGGAAGCCGGTGGCAGCCATCCACCCCATGTGCCCCCCAGGAACTAACGCTTGTACGGCCAGGCTTTGTGAGATCTGCCCCTACCCCTGCTCAGCCGGTGGCACCCATGTGAGGACACAGCCGTGGCAGGGGACAATCCTGGGCACCCATGTATGGAGGCCGCCCTCTCCCTGCCACCCCCAGGGTCCTGCGGTGGGCACATCCCATGCACCGATCAGCTCCAAGTTCTGCCTGCAGCTGATGGCCACAGGGAGAAGTGGCCCGTCAGTCCTTTGCAGGGACGGGCCCAGGGCCTGGGGCAGCAAATCACCCCCCTTTCCGCCCGAGCTAAAGCCCAACCCCCTCGGCTAGGGAGCACGTGGCAGGCCCACGGTCTCCGGGCTGAGAGAAGCCAGCGTATTGGTGCTGTGTGGGGCTAAGCAGCCGCTGCGGTCCACTGCGTAGGTTCCTATGTCACATGGGGGGCAGGTGGGGAGTTGGGGGCCCGTCTGCAATGGGCTGTGCAATCCTGCAGCACAGACACCTCCGTATACAAAGGCTGGCCCCAGAGCATGTCTTGCTGCCAGTTCCTCTGACCTGCCCCTTTCTCCCCCTCCCACTAGCTCCCATTCACTTACCAGGATGACCGCAACCACCTCCGCCGAGTCCTTGTCCACCAGCGGGTTTATCAACACTGCAAAGCAAGACAGCAAAGTCAGCCCAGTGCAGAGGAGACGCAAAACTAGGGCAATAATAGGGGAAGCAGGATGGGGACACGTGCTGGCATTTGCAGACTTGGTGATGTCTGGTGAGATACCACAGATGGGTAGCTATCCATCCATCCACCCCATGTATGCTCCTTTCCATCAATCCATCCATCCATCCATTCACCCACCTCATGTACCCCCTCTCCATCAATCCATCCACCCCATGTACACTCCTTTCTAGCCATCCTTCCACCCCATGTACCACCCTGTCCATCCATCCATCCACGCCTATCCATCCATCCCACGTATCCCCTCTCCATAAATCCATCTATCCACCCCATGTACCCCCATCTCCACCCACCCATCCATTCACCCCATGAATCCCAGTCTCATCCAGCCATCCCATGTACCCCATTATCTATCCATCCATTCCTCCATTCCATGTATCCCGCTCTCCATCCATCCCATGTACCCTGCTTTCCATCCCTCCTTCCCTCTATCCATTCATCCATCCCACATACCCCCCACTCCATCCAACCCATGTACTCCCTTCTCCATCCATCCATCCACCCCATGTACACCTCTCTCCATCCATCCATCCCCCCCATCCATCCCATGTCCCCTCCTCTCCATCCATCGATCTATCCCATGTGCTTCGTGGTCTGTCTCTCCCATGTACCCCACAACAGAGCTGTTGATTGATCTATCTGTGCCCTGCACGTGTCACTGCAGTAACTGAGCACTAGTCCATCAGAAATGCAGAGGATGAAAGACAAGGACTCCTGCTCCACCCCCCCCGCCCGCACGCCCCGGCCTCTTCCTACCTTGTTTATCAGGAGGCAAAGGTGCTGCCAGGCTGTCCATCGGTTTGCCCTGGAGCTCTGACTGGGGCAGCCCATTGCATCCCACCTGCTTCTGCTTGAGGACGGCATCCCTGGAAGCACAAGAGCAGAAGGCACAGCTCTGAGCCAACCCAGGGCACAGACGGTGCTCCAAGGAGAGCTGCTGGAGAATCAGGCACCGGCTTCCCTAGCCACCAGGGACGGGATGGAGACAGCCTGGGAGACAGGCACTCTGACTGGCACCCCTGGCAGTGCCAGAGTGCTCAGAGCTGGCACCTGAGCCACCAGGAGCCCAGGGCCGAGCGGGGCGAGTGGGTGGCACTCCACTTAAGCCAATGGTATGTGCTTCTCTGGCCGGAATTGGGTTAACAAGTTTAGTCTCAGACCCGAGCACTAGAGACGGGGCCAAACGCATCACCAAGGCTGAACCTTGCCCTGCTTGGGGCTGGAATTCATCCACAAACCCAGATTTGAATTTCGACCGTGGGCGTGGCCCAGGCACCGGAGCTGAGCATCCCTGGGACAATCAGGGCCAAACACACCAGGGGAAAAGCAGGGGGCCTGAACCCCAGCCAACGATCACTTCATAGAATCATAGAATATCAGGGTTGGAAGGGACCTCAGGAGGTCACCTAGTCCAACCCCCTCTCAAACCAGGACCAATCCCCAGCTAAATCATCCCAGCCAGGACTTTGTCAAGCCGGGCCTTAAAAACCTCTAAGGAAGGAGATTCCACCACCTCCCTAGGTAACCCATTCCCACTTGCATCAACTGATTGTATCCAATACTCCTGTACTATCACAGTGGATAGAGTGAGGGCTTTTCTGGAGGCAGGTGATATGCTGGTGATCGGTCTCACTGCGAAATGTCTGTATGAACCCTACACTGATATTATGCTTTAAAGTCTGTGACCAACCAAAGGGAGACAGGAAGGCAGGCAGATCGGTCTCCGGTGCAAATTAAGCAGGGTGGAATCAAAACCCTGGAAGCCCCATTTACATACGAATCGGCAGGGGAAGTTTCCAGGAAGCAAACAACAGCAGAAAGCCTTCCTGGCTCTTGATACAGAGACTCCGGGGTGATATAAGGACATTTGTGTGATCCCTGTCTTGCGGGAACACGAAGAAAGCAGGATTTTGCGGCGGGAAGGATGGATCCTGGCTGGAAAAGCCAGTCACGCTGGAGAAGGCACTGGAAGCTGGGAAACCGTCTTGACCAAGAACTCAAGCTGATTACATCGGGGTTTTAGTCTTTGCTTGTAACCCTTCCTGTTGTCACTTCTTATACTTGGCATCACCTAACCCAGAGGCTTTTTGTTTAATAAACGTGTTTCGCTTTTGGTATAACCCCACTCCTGCTGGGAAATAAGAGTGTTTGTCAAACAGCAGTTAAATTAATCAGCAGCAGTGCCGTGACTCCTAAAGGAGCAACAAACGTGAGATTGTCTGCGAATGCAGAATGACAGAGGCTGTGCGTTGCAGAGAGACATCTCTGAGCAGCTTTGGTCCCTGAATGTCTCTGCCTGGAGTGGCTCACGACCCGGAGTGCCGACCTCAGGGCAGACTGTCAGAACACAGGGCAGGCGCCCCTAACTGGCGGTGTGCTCTGTAATTAGATTGCACCACGCCAGACACAAATGTGAACTCGGGTCACTCTACCAGGCTTACCACGGAGTCGCAGACAGTCCTCTTAGACACCCAGACAAACTGGATTTCGTTATAGCAAGTCATTTACACCAAAAATCACACCACCTCAAGTTTCTCCCAGCCCCCAAAAGACCATCACTTACCCCAGATCAACTGGTACTCCAGATCTGACACCAAAGACAACACTAGCAGGCAAATAAACCTACAGTAAACTAACTACAGATGTATTAGCTAAGAAAAAAGATTGAGGATTATTGAGAGGTTAAAGCAGGGTGAGTCGTAGTTTGTAATTCCAAATGGTGGCAGTGACGTAATAAATTGCCAGTTCCCCAAAGTTTTTTCAGGGTACCCCGATGGTCTCTGGGGATCTCTGCTTTGCATCTGGTACCTCTCCTTGTAAGAGTCCAGACAGTCCAGAGAGGAAGGATCTTTCTTTGAATCCATTCTTGTATCTTCTTCTGAGAGAAGGCGAGCTGACAGTCTCTTTACCCACTGGGCTTTTCCTTTGATGACTGGGAGTGAGGAGGGCACTTAATCTTTTGACCTCCGACCATCACACACAATGACCACTTGCTTTGAAATCGGCATTTGCTGTTAAAGTCCTTAAGTCCTTCATTAGCATTTCCCAAGATGTCTTGGAAAAGTTGCTTAGTCACAGGGTACACACAACGTAAATGTTCGGTATTGCATTCTAACAGGAACAGAGACGTGAAAACAGCACAAGTAACGTCCAATTCGTTTTCATGAAGTTCACTCACCCCATACACTCTTATACAGCTCACCGGTACTTTGATCTATACTAACACACAAGCGAATCGACCCGAATACACTCTAGCATGGCCTGGTCTGCCGGTGCCGCAGTTTGGACCAGTTTGCTGGGGAGGAAGACAGGCTGGCGTGGCAGGGAGCTGACCCACAGTCATATCTTAGCGAAGCTCTCTCGCACTAAGGCAGAGATGTAACACCGGGGCCTGCAGCTCCGGCTGTCTCCTAGCAGCATGTTACAATCCCCACACGCCGGGCTGTCAGAGAGCCAGATCCGAGTCCTGTCATCTGGCCTCAGCTCTCAGCGGGTCACAGAACCGTAGACTCTGACCCACGCCCTCAGCAGGATCCTAGGACCAGCATCCAGAGCGCTTGCTGGCCCGAGTCAGACTGATTTGTGTGTGGACAGAAAAGGGGCTTGGGCTCAAACCGGAGTGACAGCCCAGGCTCGGAGTGCAGTGTACAGAATTCCACAGCAGCGCTCCGGGCTCTTCCCGGATGAACCACTCCATCCACACAGGATCTGTGCCCTGCCTGTCACAGTCTGGTCCGCTTTAAAGCCAGCTCATCTAAACTGGTTGCGAGGAGTGCATGTGACTGTGCTCATGTGGTCAAACCCTCGTCCACGGAGCAACAGTGAATGTCTGTGCTAGGTCAAAATCCTGTTCCAGATTTCCATCCTGGTCCCCAGTGGATTTCCAGGAGCAATTTCCTCATTAATCACACAGAGAGAAACGTAGTCAGCAATCCTCTAGCAATGGGCATCTCCTTTGTTCGGGAATCTGACAGCCTCTCTCCCCTGGTTGTGAAGATAGAGTCTTTGAGATGAAATGAAATACAACTTATTTCTTTTAACATGGAAAAGAAAAATCCATATGCTTGTCTAAGGGGTGACCTGCCCCCCGAAATCTCCCTGGGCGGTAGGACATTTTTTCCTGCAAGGAGACTGCATCTCTCATCCTTGTGTGAACCGGGTCAAAGGCAACCACGGTATTAGTACAATATGTAAGAGCGGGCAGGGCAAGGAAATTCTTTTAGCGTGTAGTAATTCATCCTTCCCACTAGGGGCAGCACATGCTTGGGTCACCTTTGGCAGACAGTCTCTGCAGAGGACTGTGGGGAGGGAGGGTGCCCTCTGCAGGCGAGGAGGGCTAGAAAGTTAGCAGCTGAGCGGCCCAGGTGTGGCTCTTACGGCTGTGCTATTTAAAGGGCCACCCGCCGCAGGCAGTACCGTCCACCTGCAGGAGTGCTGATGACACGATCCATGTCTGAACAGACCTGTCTGTGTTAGCAACCCCTGAGATCCATCACGCCCAGTGCTTGGTTGCTGCTTACCGGCCCGGAGATCGCGGCTTTCCACGTTGATTGATGACTGTCTCCAGCTAATGTCTATACAGGGAGCTGTCGCACGGGTGAAGGACGCTGGATTGGCAGCCCGGGACAAGGATGTGCTCTGGTTCCCTCCCGGGCAGGAGACGCACCAGGACAAGCATGGCTGATACCCACCCTCTGCCAGCCTGTCCAGCGCTGACTGGGAGGGACCCGCTTGGTATTTCAGTCCCTGGAGCCCAGTCACCGGTCAGGCCTCTGCTGGGACCGTCCACCAGGAGCTCCAGTTAACTCCAGTTGTGCTGCTGGATGGTGGGAACACCCTGTTCCCAAGGGGGGTAGCACCAACTTGTGTCACGTAGGTGTCCAGCCAGCCGTCGGGCAGGAACGGCTCTGGCTCGCCCCCGCTGGCTTGGAATTGGTCAAACGCTCTGTACTGCGATCCCAGCAGGGGGCCACAGATCACGCTGCCTTTCCCTGGTGGAAACTTTGTCATCAAAATGTTCGCCCAGGGAAAATGGCGCCTCGGCCACTGGGGCCATCTCACCAGCCTGGGCAGGGAAGAAAGCTCCCAACAGCGGAGGAATTTTGGTGCCTTTCTTGAGCGATGGGTTTATTCCTCAAGAACCAAACCGGTCCAGCGTAAATCAGACAGATTAACGAGAGCCTTTCCCTTTATTTAGGGGTTTCGGGAATTGCCCAGCTGCTCCCAGCAGATCTGGGTCTCAAGCAGGGTCTCCCGGAGGGTGGTATACACAGGTCTCGTCTCTGTCTCGCTCAACTATGCTGCGGGTTGGCCTTTTAGCTAAGGCCCGGGTGATCTGCAGGCTCTCCACTGGTCTCCAGCCTCAGACCCACCCCCTGGGATGCAGTTAATTAGTCACAGGCGGTGCTAAGCCCCCCCACTGCCAGATCAGAACGAACATTTTCCCAGCACTTTGTCAGTTTGCTCTAAATGGTCTATTTTTACCCCCTATGAAGAACCGGAAACAGAAAACGGAAAAAAAAAGGTTAAATGTTTGATTTTCCCAAACTGAAAATGTGCTTTTAAAAGTGGGGGTTTTGGGGGAGGGCGCAGGTAGGGGGGTTATTGTTTTTTTAAAGGAATTTTTTCAGGGTTTTCCGCAAAAAAAGAATTGGGGGTTTTTCAAACTATGCTCTTGAGTCATTCTCGGGAAAGGCCCGGGGGCTGGGGGAATCACACTGAACAATAGTTTGAAGCGCCAGTTGGGGAGAATGTGGGGACTGTGCTGGTCTCTTTAGTGGCTTGTTTTAAAACCCTTCTGAAGGTGGCTCTGGGAATCATTGTTGCAAAGCGGGAAAGGAAATTGGTTCCGCTGCGCTTGATGAGA